AGAACATTGACGGGATGGGGAAGTGTGGTGTTATAGGTTGAAGATATTTTGATCAACGGGACTGGGGAGAAATGTTCACATATTGAAATGCTCACATTGTAAGCCAAACAATGCGATTGAATGTATATACAAAAATAAATAAATTTAAAAAGAATCTTGGTTTATTTTATGAATTATATTGACTGTTTTTAGTAGCACCAACAAAAGAAGAGGTTTTTTTAAATTATTTTATTTAACTTTATTTATTATTATCATCATTATTATTTTCGAGTTTGATCAGAGAGAGAGAGAAGTGAGAAAGCAAGGCACCAGGTCTGAGACTTGAACCATGGTCGGCCATGTGGGAGTCCAGCACCTTTAACCACCATGCCACTTGCCGGCCCCACAAGAGTTTTATTAGTCTTTTTATTTAAAAAGAAAAGCTTAAGAAGGTTTAAACCCTTGAAATTGCTAACCTTAGGTTGATTATTCTGAATTATTTCAGAGTGAGCCTGTGGAAATATTTCAGCCATTTTTACTTGGCTATCACGTTCTCTTCTCAAATAATTGTGCAGTAATGGAAGGGATGACAACAAATAGTCATTCTATTTCTTTGAAAAGCTAAATGTAGGAGCCAGTAGGTGGCATGGAAATTATGGCACTAGACTTCCACATGTCCAATTATGATTCAAGTCCTAGACCTCACTGCTTGTTTTCTCCCTTTCTCTCTTTCTGGTGAGCACATGTGCACTATAGGAAATTAAATAAAATCTAAATAATTATTTGATTAAAAAAAAAACTAGGTGTCACAAAACCCTTTCAGGACTTTATGTTTTGTAATGAGCTAAATTTCACTGAACATTTATTTTATAGAAATTAGTATTTGCGATGTTTTAAAAGCAAGTCTTGAATGGCTGTAATTAAGTATATCTTTCTTCTTTTAATCCATTGTATCAACAGCACAGTCCTTGATATACATACTTTTTTTGTTTAAAATAAGTCATATTGATTTGTGTTTTCTTCCTAGTAATTTCTTTATTTTCTATTTGCATATTATCACTTTTACTATATTTATAACTTTAACTACATATCTCTTCCACATGACATGGGTAACCTTCAGAATCTTCCTAGGTTGTTAGCAATAAGAAAACCCATTTTGTTCATAGAGTTGTGGGTTTTTTTTTTGGAGAGGTTTTCACTATAGGGCGCGTGCACTCGCCAGACAGACAGAGACATAGAGACAGAAAGTGAGAAATCACCCCCCAGGGGGGATGGTCACGCCACAATCCCTTCCCCTCCATTTTTCTCCTGGGCTCTTGGGCACGCACGCACACGCGCCCGGCGTGAGTTCTAACACCGGGTCCGGGTCGCGAACTGCAGTTGACTACGTGGGAGTCCAGCGACATAGCCATTAAGCTAACTGCTGGTTCCGGTGGTTTTTGTTTGTTTGTTTGTTTGTTTGTTATTTTGAAATTCCATATTATTTTGACACAGCTCCCTGATGATGTAATATATGTAATCATTTGTACTCGTCATATAATCATGGGAATTGCCATTCATAGTGACAGTGGTGGTATAAACTTAAGTATCTTATTTCGTTATTGTTTGTTTGTTTAATTCTGGCAACTAATGAGTTGAGGTTATTTCCATTAGGCAATTGAAGAGGATACTTCTAGCTCTCTAGTGAAAAGTCATCTTTTCCACCAAGAGACGGTTGTTACCAGCGAGCCTTATAGAAGCTCAAGTATAAGACCTTCTCCCTTTGAAGATCTGAATGCCAGAAGAGTCTACTTACAAAGCCAAGCCAATCAGGTGAGAAGACAAATACTTTTCATCCTGTTATTTGCATTTATAGAAATTGGGTATGTTACAGAGGGTCATTAGGACCATCTGTCCTTTACCAGACAAAATAAACAAACAAAAAAATGAATATGGTCTATAATTAAATCAGATCTAGAGAGAGAGAATAAACATATAAATTATAGTACTTGAACCATAAATTTCACTTTAAATTTTCTATGGCTCAAGTGAAAGGGGACATGTGTTATGTTTTCATTATACAGAAGGAAAGGGCAACTTTTTAAGAGGCAAAAGTTCTTAAACCTTACTATACAAGAAACTTCTCATTTCAGAGATAATTATTAAAAATGTCCTCAGCAGGGACCAGCAGGAGGCGTAATGGTAAACATTGCTAGACTCTCACATGGTCAACTGCAGTAGGAGTCCTGGACTCAGTGACTTGAAACTCACTGGGTGCATGTGCTTGCATGCCGAAAATCATGAGAGGAGAAGGGATTGCAGCATGGCCATCCCCCTGGGGGGTGATTGATCGCTTTCTTTCTCTCTGTCTCTCCAGCAAACACACACATCCTATAACAAAATTCTCTCAAAGAATAAAATAAAAAAGGCCTCAGCAAACATATCTGTGGTAAATACACTGACTGACATGTATCAGAATGCTCCTTATAACTTTTCTTAGAAACTGCAAATGTACTCCTAAATCAACACACTGAAAAGTTCCCACTGGATATTATGTATACAGCTTTCTAATGGTTCTAGCCAAGATGATCTAAAAATTAAACCTTAGTTTTAGGACATAACCTTGTTTCAGGTACTCAAATTTACCAGATCTTTTAGAAGACCATTAACTGTGATTCTCTTAGTGACATTAACAGATGTTTTTATTGTTGTTAAATAAGCATCTGTAATTTTTTTTTTTTTTGGAGAGGTTTTTGCTATAGGGCATGTGCGCTCGCCAAAAAGACAGAGAGACAGAAAGCAAGAAATCACCACCCACCACCACTACCAGGGGGGATGGCAATGCTGCAGTCCCTTCTCCTCCATTCTCCTCTCAGGATCTTGGGCAAGCATGCACACTCATCCACCGTGAGTTTAAACCGCTGGGTCCAGGACTCAAACCGCGGTCGACTACATGGGAGTCCAGCAACATAGCCATTACGCTAACTGCTGGTCCCAGCATCTGTAATTTTTAATATGTCTTTTACTTTTCACAATTTGGGTGTTTTTTATATAAAATCTCTCTTTTAAATTATATATAGTTGGGTTTTGTTTAGTCCCAGTCTTTTTCTTTGGTATATTTTGCCCTTTTTTTTTTTTAATTTGTCAAAGGGTGCTGTCATCAGAGAGACAAGGAGAAAGGGAGAAAGCACACCCAGAGGGGCATGGTTATGCCAGTCCCTTCTTTCATTTATCCAGTCTGTTGGGATTTGGAACATACATGCACACATACTTAGTTCCTGCCAGGACAGGATTGAACCATTCTGTTGGTCATGTGTGATCTGGCTCCCTTAACCACCAGGCCATGGGGCTTGCTTATCCATTACTTTTATTGCAGTAATATTCTACCTGCCCATTGATTCTGGTTCCTTTTTGTTCCTCACTTTGTTTATTTAAATATATGTAATGGAGCCAGCAGGTGGTGTGGTGATTCAGGCACTGGACTGAACAAGTCCTAGACCTGGCTTGCTCTCTGACTCTTTCCTGCTCCCATCTCTCTCTGGTGAGCACATGTGCTCTATAGCAATTTTTAAAAATATATAATAATAACAAAATTAAATTAATAACTTTTTAAAAAGAAACATTTAATTACTTGCTGTTCCTCCTTGTTTAGCTTTAGTAGTATGGTCATTCAGTATTTTTAGTGGTTATCTTAGAGATTACAAATGTATGATTGACTCTTTAGAACCTAACCCTAAATTTTATATATATGCGCGCGCGTGTGTGTATCCAATTCCAGGACAATGCACAGATATATAATGCCAACTCTACTTGCCTCTCTTTTATCTTTTGTGTGATTGTCACAATTTTAATTCTCTTTCATGTGTGTCTGTAAAATTTAAAATCTTACAAAGTATTCTAATCAACAATTATTTGATTAGATTTATTCCCTATTTATTTTTTATGTTCTTCAATTTCTTACTGCCATATTCTCATCTAGAACCATTTCCTGTTTATGGCTGTTGACAAATCTGTTTTTAGCTGAAGATTATGATTTATTTAAGTTAGAAACAGATTGTGAAAGACTTCCGGCCTTTATATTTCACTGAATCTGATCATTAGGGTTTGTTGATCTTTATCATGACTCTTACCTACTATGTGCTAGCTACTGTTTTTTGTTTTTGTTTGTTTGCTTTTTTGAGAGAGATTTTTGTTATAGGGTTATAGGGTATGTATGCTCATTAAAGAGACAGAAACAGAAAGTGAGAAATCACACCCACTGGGGATGGCCATGCTGCAATCCCTTCTCTATTCTCTTATGATTCTGGGTGCACATGCCAGGTATGAGCTTCAAGCCTTTAAGTCTGTGCCTCAAACCAGGGTTGACCACATGGGAGTTCAGCATCTTAACCACTGTGCCACCTGCTGGCCCCATTGTTTAGGTGTTTTCCTTACAGTAACCCATTTTACTTTTCACGTCAACCACAATTACAGTGCTTCATCTTAGATCTGTAATTTATAAATGTTATCTAGATTTATTATGAAATTTTATAAAAAATTGAAGAAAAATCATGTTAAGTTAGTATAAGGTGGAAGAATTAATTGAAACCCAGTTTTACTTTGAGCAAATTAACAGCAAGAATAAAAGCTGAAAGTAATCTGTATGCCCTCTCCAGAGATAATTGAGATATCAGAACAACATAAATGGAATCACAGTTGCGTGTAAAACTTCCAGGCTTCCTAGGAAATAGGGTAGTTGAGTGCAGAGAGGTCCAGTTTAACACTATTAAATACAAGATACATTCCAGCATATTGGGTGGTGGGCAGAAATACTCATCCCAGGGGAGGAGAGAGTCCAGGTTATATATAGGCGGTCACTGATTCATAGAGTAGAAAGAGCACTCGGCAAGTGGACACAGAGTTACAGTTGACATCATTCTGCATCCCAGGCACTTGCCATTAATTTGGCCTATCTTTGGCTGACCAAACTGTAAATGAAGTTGGGTGAGTAGTGCTTGTCATTGTCTCACCTGCAGAAGAGCCTGACACAAGGGTATCTGTGTGTTTAGGATCAGGCTAGGGAACATAGTGAGACCCTCTCTCTTTAAAGAAGCAAAAGAACTGAAAGGGATTCTTTTGATTGATGATGAGTGGGAGGAAAAAAAAACTGAACTCATCTCCCCAAATGGCAGTAATGGTAGTAGTGGGGCAGTTGAAGAATGTACACTGTGTAGAAAAGTCCAGAATGATACTACATTGCAGAGAGAGACGTCAGCACTTGGCTAACAGCACTTAGCTTTGGGGTGGGCTACTGATTTCCAGCTGCTTTACTTTCTGGCGGTGTAGCCTTGGGCATATGACTCAGCCTCTTTTTCCTTAATATCTTCATCTGTAAATTGGTATCATCATCTACCTTCTAAAATTGTTATGGAGACAGAATGATTAACTGTGATTTATATAACACTTAGAAAAAATGTTTTGTTAAGCAATTAAAACAGAACTACTAATCTCTTATCTCCAGGATTGACATGACATAGAGAAAAAAGGGTATTTTATGAATTTGCATATACTTAGCAACACATTTGCTATTTCAAAATCGGTGGAATTCTTAGGTCCAGCAGGTGGTGTGGTGGTTAAGGTGGTGGACTCCCACATGGCCAACTATGGTTCAAGTCCTGGAGTCAGTGGTTTGAAAATCATACCAGGCATATGTGCATTCACACCCAAAATCCCAAGATGGGAATGGAAGAGAAGAGATTGTGGTATGGCCATCCACCCTGGGGGAGCAGTTTCTCACTTTCCCTCTCTCTGTCTCCAGCAAGTGAATGTGCCCTATGGCAAAAAAAAAAAAAAAGAAAAAAAAAAAAAAAGAAAAAAAAAAAAAAACTTAAAAAAAAAAAACAGAAAGAAAGAAAATTAAAATACTAATTAATTAATTAAAAAGGAAAAAGAAAACTACACCAGGTGCATATATGTCCAAAATTCCAAGAGGAGAATGGAAGGAAAGGGATTGCAGCATAGCCATGCCTCCCAGGAGGGTGAAGGGGTAATTTTCACTTTCCCTTTCTCTCTCCTCAACAAGTGCATGTGCCCTTTGGCAAAAATCTGAGTGTGAAAAATAGTTGTTATTCTCAGTTTAATAGGAGTTAGAATAGGATAATTTTTTTTTAAAGCTGCAGTAGACAGGCCAGTAGGTGGCATAGTGGTTAAGGTGCTTGAATCCGACATGACTGATCACAGTTCACGTCCCAGACCTGGAAGCTTATTTTCTCACTTTCCCTCAATCTCGCTCCATCTCTCTCTGGTCTATATAAAAATAATAAATAAGTGGCCAGCAAGTGGCATGGTGATTAGGGGCGCTGGACTCCCACATAGCCGACTACAGTTCAAGTCCCAGACCTGGCGGCTTGCTTTCCCACTTGCCCTCTCTCTTTCACCCTGTCCCTCTCTGGTCAAACTAAAATAAATAAATAAAGTTAAATCAAATAATTCTTTTAAAAATAATAATAATAATAGAAAATAAATCTAGGGCCAGCAGGTGGTATGGTGGTTAGGGGGTGCTAGAATCCCATAAGGCTGACCACAGTGCAAGTCCTAGACCTGGTGGCTTGCTTTCTCACTTTCTCTCTTTCTCTCTTTCTCTCTCACTCTGGTCAGATTTAAATAACAAACGAACAGTTGAATAAAATAATTCTTTAAAAAAATAAATCTGGTCAAATTTAAAACAAATGAAATTTTTTAAAAAGCTGCATTAGATGTAACTATATACTTAGTAAATATTACAGAAGTTTCTACAGGACTAAAGCACATTTGCACTCACAGTACTGTTAGGTTTGTGTATCTGTTGTCATTTGGTTGTGATTCAGAAGACCTCACAGGATGAATTTCCCACAGTATGGAATATGGCCCTCAGCTTTGAGCAAATTAATAGCAAAAATAAAAGCTGAAAGTAATCTGTATGCCCACTCCAAGCACATCAGAAAGCTTACTTCGGTACTAAAATGAAGTCATCTTTCAGAGATTTTTTAAAAATCTAATTATTTTTAAAAAGGGTAAAAACCACAATCTAAAATTTAAACCATCATGAGTATTATAGTGCTGGCAGTGACTTGTTTAGCACATTCTCCATATAAAATTGGTCTTCATGAGATACTAGATCCTCACTAGAAGCTAGCCGGGCAGGTGTAAATGCTCAATAGTGTAATTATATGCTTTGAATATTTAATTGCATTCAACTGGGATGGCTTGATGGTTTTTTTCTACAGCCAAGGAACAGTCTTGGTGAAGGACTGGACTACTGCCTTACAGAACTATGAAAAATGCTAAGATTTTTATCCTTACTTGTAAGCTAGTAAGTTAACCCATCAGTTATTTTAATTTTTGCTATAGGGCTTGTGCACAAGAATTTAGTCATACCCATTAATATGATAACATCCCTTTATTTAGTTATATTATCTCTCTACACAGTCTCTTTATGAAAAGGTACTGGACTTCTGTTACAAGATTTATTTCTTTGTACCTTTTTAAATTTCATCTGTTGGGACCAGCAGATGGCATAATGGTTACATTGTTGACCTCCCACATGGCAGACCACGGTTTGAGTCCCAGACCCCGAGGCTTCTGCTGGGTGTGTGTGCATGCATGCCCAAGATCATAAGAGGAGAACAGCCGAAAAGGGATTGCTGCATGTCCATCCCACTCCCCCGGGAGTGATTTATTGCTTTTTTTCTGTCTCTCCAGTGAATGTAGGTGACCTACAGCAAAAATCTCTCTTAAAAAAAATAAATCGTTTGTTACCAATTTTGATGAAGTATCTCCCATGGCGTTTTCAGCTGATAAATTCAAAGCAGTAGCCCCAGATTTCCAGGGAATCCAAAAACAGTAGTTAATCAGGATATTTCTTAGAACATCTGTGTTTTATACGTTTAAAACGTCAGCATTATCCATTTGTCTTAGGGATTGTGTGGGAGAACTAATATTTAGAGACTTTATTGACTTAGGTAGTTTTCTAAGTATGTGTTAAAATGGTGTGTGTTTAACTTTCTAATGACCCTGACTGACTTCAGGAATGGGGGAGGATCATGGCATGGAGATCCAGTTAAGAGATTCTGTTTCCCTCACTTGAAGGAAATAAGTGAATAAGCTTTTTGAAATAGCAAAAAAGTGAGCATTTTACTTTTTAAAATAGATTTCAGGAATATATATATTCAGGAATATGTATATACACACACGTATATATGTATATGTGTGTGTGTGTGTGTGTCAAAATTCCCTCACTATTTTTCTACAATCTTCTAGGACTTTATTTTTGTTGGGTATTTTTTTGTTTGTTTGCTTTGTTTGTTTTTAAGGGAGATTTTTACTGTAGGGTGCCTGTGCTGGCCAGACACAGAGAGAAAGAGAGAGAGAAATAACACTCCAGAGGGGCTGTGGCCATACTCCCTTCTCCTCCATCCTCCTTCCAGGATTTTGAGTATGCATGAACTCATGCCTGGCATGAATTTCAAGCCACAGGGTCCAGGACTCAAACTATGGTTAGCCATGTGGGAGTCCATTGCCTTAACTACTATACCACCTGCTGGCCCTTGTTTTTGTTTTTTGAGGGTTTTGTTTTTTGTTTTTTGTTTTTTACTTGAGCAAATGCTTTGCTTATTTTGCATTTACTTCAGATTGTTTCCTTCATAAAGACTGCCCAAGCCATTTAATTTATAGTGATTCCTACTCACATTAATTTCTAAATTCTTATTACATATTCCACTTATAAACAAAAGTGTTCATAATGTATCATTAAGTGCACAAAGCAAAACATAGTATAAAAAGTTCCATTTGTATTTAAAATATTTTAAATCTACATATATGCACGTGTGTCTATGAAAACTTGAAGGAACACACTAAAATTTTTGTATAATAGATAATTCAAGATTGAGACTGAAGGTCTAAATAAGATTAAAAAAATTTTACTATACAACAGTGAGATTTGGATCAAAATGTTCCCAAAAAAACAAAGAAGAAGAAAACAAGATTCCCAAAGTGTTGATAATTATTGAAACTAGGTTATAGACATGGTTATTCATTATATTAGTTTCTTTGTATATGCTTGAACTTCTTCTTTATAAAAAATTTAAGAATTGAACATAAACAAATTTTAATTGTAATCTAGCCCTGAAATGGACTTCGCAGTTGAGAATGCTAATACATATATCAGGACAATAAATGTCTCTGCTTTTTTTTAGATATCATTTACATAAATATAAAATTATCCTTTTAGAGCATACAATTTGTTGGCTTTAATATATTCACAAGATTGTACAACCATTACTACTATCAAATTCCAGGACTTTTTTTTTTTTTCTTTTTTCTTTTTTTTTTTTTTGAGAGAGGTTTTTGCTATAGGGCGCATGCCGCTCGCCAGACAGACAGCGAGAAATCACCTCCCCCCCCCCAGAGGGGATGGCCATGCCGCAATCCCTTTTCCTCCATTCTCCTCTTGGGATCTTGGGCACACATGCACACGCACCCGGAGTGAGTTTAAGCCACCGGGTCTGGAACTCAAACCGCGGTCGACTATGTGAGAGTCCAGCGACATAGCCATTACACTAACTGCTAGTTCCTCCAGGACATTTTTATCACCTCAAAAAAACCCATTTCTACTAGTAGTCTTTGCCCCTACCCTCTGTCCTCTGGTCCTTGATGACTATTATTGTGACATATAGGACTATATTATTTCTTTTTATAGTCAAGTAATATTCCACTGTGTGGATCTGCCACATTTATTTATCTAGTGATTAGTTGATGACTAGGTTGTTTCTACTATTTTTTTTTCTTTTGGCTATATATTACTTCTTAAATTTGTGATGTATCATAAAAAACATAAGTTTTTTTTAAGGGAGAAATGATGACTCAATGCTTTTTATTCAAACCATTATGAAAAATGTCACTACCGATAAATCGTCATTAAGTTTTGAAATCTACCTTGTATATAGTCTTATTAAAAGTAAGAAATTCATTCTTTCGACACTTAAGTAGAAATTGTTTGTACTTTAGATAACATTTGGTCAACCAGGCTTAGACATTCAGAGCAGAAATATGGAATATGTTCAGCGGCAAATATCCAAGGAATGTGGAAGCCTAAAGTCTCAAAATAAGGTAAGTAATGTTAGTTTATCTTCTGATAATGAATATAACTAATTAGCAATATAGATGAAATTTTTCAGCATATCTAATTCGCTATGTAGTTAAATCAGTCAGTGTATAAATTTGCTACATATATGCTTATAAATGTTTTTACTTAACATAAACTCTATCCAAATTTATTATTTATTTCGGGGGGGGGGCTGCTATAACTGTATTTATCACCAGAAAGGACCAGTGAGAATTGTATATTGATAATTTAATAGACTGTGTCTGTCACAGCATCTTTAGCACAGACCTGGAATTTTTTTTAGCCCTAATTCCAAATATCTGGAGGTTAGAAGTTTGTCTCAACCTGGATCCAGTGCTTACTTGTAGACTAATCTCTGGGACTAGAACTAGACTAGAACTAGGACATACATATAAATTTGACTGCTAGAAGCTCATCTTTGGGGTAATGGGAAGGGACAAAGACTTAATTTTGCTCCTTGGCCTCAATGACTACAATTACACAAAAGATTTAGGAAGAGAAAAAGAGAGTAATTGGACAGACAGTTGGTTCCAGGGGTAGGGGTGTGTTTTTTGTTATTTATCAGAGAATTTTCAGGTGGCCAAGCCATAAACATGTATATCCTTATTAGTTGCTAGGACTTCGATAACAAATAGCACAGACTGGTATTAAGCAACATGGCTTCAACAACAGAGATTTATTTTCTTTTCGTTCTCGAGGCTGGAAGTCCAAGATTGGCAGGTTTGGTTCCTTCTGTGGCCTTTCTGCATGGCTTGTCAACAGCAACCTTCTCACTGTGCCCTTATAAGGTCTTTCCTCCTGAGATACATCCATCTTGTAACTAGGTGTGTGTCCAAATTTCCTGTTATAAAGATGCAGATTGGATTAAGGCCTACCGTAGGCCCCATTTCAACTTTGCTACCTCCTTAAAAGCTTTGTTTCCAAATACAGTCTCATTCTGAGTTACAGGGAGTCAGGAACTTAATACATGAATTTGAGGAGGACACAATTTAGTCCATAAATTCCAGTATCCTTATCTTAACCCATTTCAGCATCAGCCTTTAAAACTCGGATCTTATCTAAATACCATCTCGGTCAAATTGGGTGGGACTTGAGGTATGTCTCATCTTGGGGTACAGTTCCTCTCTAGTTGTGAGCCCATAAACCTAGACAAGTGTCTGTCTCTAAAATAAAATAATAGAAAAGGCATTTGAGAAACTGAAAAGAAGGAGGATATCACAGGTCCCAATCAAGTCTAAATCCTAACAGGGAAAATTCCGTTAGCTTTTGAGATGAATCCTCTTTGGCTTGATGCTCCTTTTCTGGGCCCCCCAGAGTGACACTCTCACTGCCTTGGCCCTAGGTGTCAGCATCACTCCCAAGACTGTAGGCTGCTATCGCAGGTGCACTGACGCTGAGGACTTGGTTCTGTCCTCTGGAACCAAGGAGGAGACAGCCCTGAATTCAGGATCATTCTTCCCTTTTCTTGAAAGAAAACACATGATCATAACCATATGGTTCTCTTAGCCAATCCCAGAAGTCTGACAGATGTCCTTCATTTCATCGTGTCTTTGTCCCAAGTTGTCAGCACTTTACCACATAATAGTCCAGACACACCTTTGGTATACTCTCCAGAACACACTTTCTTAATTTTTACAGTGCTTAACAAGTCCTTCCTTAACTTCTTGCTCTTGCATTACACTGTCAGAAGCAGTGAGAAGAAACTAGACCACACCTTCAACTCTTTGCTTTGAAATCTCCTTCGTTAAATATCTGTTTATCATTCACAAGTTTTACCTTCCAGAAGCCACTAGAACATAATTCAGACAGGTTCTGTGCTACTTGTTAACAAGAATCACATTTCTTCCAGTGTCCAGTAACATGTTCACTTCCATCTGAGGCTTCACTGGAAACACCTTCACATTGCCTTCATATGGTACCAAGTTTCTTCAAAGCTCTTTCTGACCTTCATCCTAAATCTTTTCAGCCCCTATATTCTCCAGTTCCAAAGCCTCTTCAGATTTTTAAATGTTTCTTATGGTCACACCCCACTTCTATTTGTTTGGTTTTTTGTCAGTGGATGTATGTGCTTACTGGAGAGAAACAGAGTAGGGGTCGGGGGGGAAGCACCCCCTATGGGAACGGTCACACTGCAGTCCTCTCCTCCATCTCTCTCTCCTTTCAGGATTTCAGGCACACACACACTCAACCCAGCGTATTCTCAAGCCTCTGGTCTAAGACATGAGCCGTACTTTTCTCCACGTGGGATTCAGCTGTCTTAATCATCAGGCCACAGGCTAGCCCCTGTATTTTTATTTTTCAGAAGTGCTCTTTAAGTTTCTTTCTTCCATGAGTAACAGAGAGAAAAAGAGATAGCAGCTCCACCAGAGTCTTTTAAAGAGATTGTTGCCTTAGGGTGTGTGCGCTCACCAGAGAGAGACAGAGAGAAAGTGAAAAATCACTACTACCACCCCCCCAGAGAGGATGGTCACAATATGATCCCTTCTCCTCCTAAGATCTTGGGGGCACACACACATACCCAGCATGAGTTTCAAGTCACCAGGTCCAGGACTTGAACCACAGTCGGCCATGTGGGAGTCCAATGACATAACTGCTATGCCATCTGCTGGACCCTCAACAGGGTCTTGATGCTGTGATCCAGCCTCAGCTTCAGCCAGCCCTGGTACTTGGGCTTATAAGCATCCCCCTTCCCCATGCTCAGTGTCAGGTTGAACCAGAGCCTCCTCGTGTAAATCAGCATCACACAGAATTGGGCTTTCCCACGTGCCACCCTCTGGCCATCTACTTCTGTATTGATCCAGGTTCTCCAGAGAAACAGAGCCAACAAGGTGGCTGTATGGGGCGAGGGTTTCAAGGAATTGACTTGTGCCTCAGTATAGTTCACATTCAAAATCTGCAGGCTGTCTCATCAGGCCAGAGATCCAGGGAAGAGCTGTAGTTGGGACCAAAGGCAGAAACCCTTCTGTTCCGGGAGATGATCAGTCTTTGCTCTGTTCAGGCTTTAAACTGATTCCAGTGGGGTCCACCAACCTCATGGGAAGTACTGGGCTTTGCTCATAGCCCACCAGTTAAGATGTTGATCTCATCTGAAAAACATATCACAGAAACATTCAGAATAACGTCTGGACAAATATCTGGGCATTGTGGCCCCACCAGGTTGACACATAAATTAACCATCATAATTTTTGCTGGAGTTTTCATTTCTTTCCTTCTTAGGTCCCTTTGAAATCGATCAGGCATGTCAGCTTTCAAGATGAGGATGAGATTGTCAGAATAAATCCTCGTGATATCTTGATACGCCGCTATGCAGACTACAGACATCCTGACATGTGGAAAAATGACTTGGAGAGAGATGACACTGACTCCAGTATTCACTTTTCTAAACCAGACAGTAAAAAATCAGAATATCTGTACTCTTGTGGGGATGAGACTAAGTTAAGTTCACTCAAAGACTCTGTGGTATTTAAAACACAGCCTTCCTCATTAAAATTTAAGAAGTCAAAACGAAGAAAAGAGGATGGGGAACGTTCTCGCTGCGTGTACTGCCAGGAACGGTTTAATCATGAAGAAAATGGCAGGGGGAAATGCCAGGATGCTCCAGACCCTATTAAAAGATGCATATATCAAGTTAGTTGCATGCTCTGTGCAGAGAGCATGTTGTATCATTGTATGTCAGACTCCGAGGGTGATTTTTCTGATCCCTGTTCATGTGACACTAGCGATGACAAGTTTTGCTTACGATGGTTAGCCCTGGTAGCTTTGTCTTTCATTGTCCCATGTATGTGCTGCTATGTCCCTTTGAGAATGTGCCATCGCTGTGGTGAGGCGTGTGGGTGTTGTGGCGGGAAACATAAAGCTGCCGGATGAAATGATCCAGGGCCAAAATGAGCTTAAAACCTTTGTTTCCAGGAATTAGCTAACTTGGAGTTGTGGAAGCTTTTGGCAAGCAATACGGAACCTTGCCTGGTATCTTTGGGGCCACACGTGGAGGAAGCAGAACTCGGTTCCTGGCATTTCACAAATGCTAGCCATGCCTAACTTTTTCCCTTGAGTGCATGGCGTGTTTTGTTACAGGTTGTAGAGTATTTGCAGAAAGAAACTATTTCTGGCTATTGGCTATAAAAAGTCAGCGTAAAATATGATCCAACTAAAAGAGATTAATTTTTGGCATTTTTGTATATTTATGCATTAGGTGATGGGACTTTTCAAGGTTTGAATTCATTAGGACACAAACTAAAAATAAAAGTGCATTAGGGGACAGTTGATTTCAGTATAAGAAAAGTTAACACTTGGGAATTATAAGAAGTAAAACAAGTGCAACTAAATCATGTATTAGTTGTTTTTTGAAAGCAGTTTTATCTATAAATAACAAATGTTTATATTTAACTAAATGTAAGGTACGAATTATTACATATTAAGCTTTCTTCCCCCTCCTAGTTCTGAAGTAGATATACATGTATCTACTGTCACATTCCATATATTTTGAATATTTAACTCATCTAGTTAATAACACTTTTATTCCATGTGAATGATTTCCTCATTTCTCCTTGGCTACAGTTTATATTGAGTTATATCTGTACATTCTGGTAATCTAAAATCCTTAAAATTATTCTAATAGCCTTGAGTGACCAACTTTTTTTTAAAGCACAGATGTACTTGTCTAATGTTCTGATGGGAACGTAACACTTATTTTTATATGAAAAGTCTGGGCAAACAGTATAGAAAAAAATGACTTTTTTTAGGTTTTTTTTGTCGTCGTTTTGTTTTGTTTTGTTTTTGTGGTATTCAACCAGCAAGTTGTTTTCTTTCAGAGTTTCATCCTTTAAAAAAAAACATACTGCATTTACAAATGATTTACAAGGCAAAAAAGTATAACTGGATAGGTAGTATAAAACAGTTTCCTCTTTAAAATTTCCATTTATCATCCTACTAAACCAGAATATGTTCAGCTGTGTTACTAACTTTTTAGTTTAATCCTCAATGCTTATTATTATTCACCTAACCGATCATTTTTCTCAGTTGCATTTTTATTTAAACTGGCCAAAAGGATTATTTTATGTTAAAATGTGTGCTAAACTATCCCAGTAAAGTATTTAATCCAATGTTGTGAATGAAATCTTGTACATATAAATTTATTTCTTTTTCAGAGCATTGTATGAGCGGATGTTTACTTTAGAAAGTAGTTGGGTAAATGTTCCAACAAACAAGGTACCTTGGGGTCAGATTTTCTTTTTATAAGTGTTACATTAAAACTCTAACCAAGTAAGGGGTTCTTTCAGAATGTTCCCTTTGAGGAATAAGGTTGAGAATTGTGCCTTTTTTTAATGGCTTGAAGTTTCAGAAGTGATAAAAATTAAAATCACACTACCATTCAAAGCTTATTTTCTATGCAGGTTTTTAGATGTCATTTATGTATTATCCTTTCACGTATCACACTTTAGCACGTGTTAGCTTTTTTCTTTTGCCCCAGATAAACTGAAAGATGTATATAACACTATCTGTCTGTAAAATACTTTTTTTTTAAGAAAGCATTTATATTTATATGACAGCTTGAACTGACAACATTGTGTATATAGATCATCTTGAAGTATTATTTCACATTGAAAAGAAGAAAAATATATTGATAACTATAGATGTTATGAAGAAGAGGTTATTTCTAGTTTTGTACTAAAAATCAATTGGATGAACTAAATCCAAAACATCACTCTGTAGCAGCAGTTTTAAGTCTTATTTTTACTGTTTATATATTTGGGATGCTGCTACACAGATGATCTTCAACCCTGAAGTTTTCAGCTACACTTGGTTTCCTAAAATAGACTGTTAACTTTCAAAATTCCTTTTTATTGGTGAAATGGAAATACTGGTTTTCCTTGTGAATGAATTTCCATATTTGTAAGTGCTGAGTTTATAAATTCAGGTTTGAGCAAGGTGTGAATAACTGAAGAAAATAACTTGCTGGCTATATAGGAAAATGCTGTGGAAATGAACTGTGTATATACTTCTGGGAAGAACAAATATAATCATTTCTTCTGTTATGCACTAATCAGTATAGTGCAACTCCTGGTTCTGTACTGTATTTTATATGCAACATATATGCTTTAATATTTTAATGTTTGTGCATTAATATTTTCAATTTGTTTAACCACTTTGCTGCTAAGATTTTGCCGTCCCGTCCCCATTTTTCCCTTCACAATTTTAAACAAGTTTCTTCATTAAAAACTATGGCGATATAATGGTTTTTATTTTACCTTGGATCTTTATAGTTAACATACCCAGTTTCCAAATCAGTTTAGAAGACTAACTGATAAATGTAATGTTATCTGAGTCCCTGTGTGGAATTTTTCTCTTGGTAAATTAGAATTCTTACATGAAAACAATTGGATAGTTTAAATCTCTGATTCTTAACATGTGTATAGTTAGATTCAGGAACATTTTCTTGTTCTCTATACAGATTTGGCACTGCCAATTGGATTTTTCTCTAAAACATTTCTGTTTTTAATCTGATAGTATAAATAGAGGCTGAACAAAACTGCTTCATTAATCATTAATATTGAAAATGAAATCATTTAGATGGCATGACAAGAAAGACTTCAGTCTGATGAGCTTATTTTGTTCAGAACAGATACTTGTAAAATGATGCTTCTCCTGACCATTGATTTCTGTAGAAATATGTGATGTGGCACTTCAGCACCACCTACTGGACAGTTTCCAGATCAGAGACAGGAGAGGGCTGTCACAGTAAGGAGGGCTCCTTGCTACCACCAGGAAAGGGCTATTTATGAATGGCCACCTCTTCCTGGGGAAACCGGGAGGAAGAAATTGCTCAGAGGAACTATAAAGTGATTCTTTTCTATAATGTGTCTTGTTGCTCACTGAAAGATTTTAAGCACTTTTTCTTACATATCCTGTTTTAAAATATTTATTGATATTTGGAACTGGCAAGTCAGATTTAATGGATGAACTAAGGCATTTATGGAACCAGTTCCTTTAACTCGCAAAAGCCATTACCAAAATGGTATTCTTGTTTTTCCTCCCATTGCCAGTCAGGGAGAACTATAAAAAAATAAATAAACATAATCACCTGTATTGTATCATGACAGCTTCAAAAAGTGTGTGTATATTTCTGAGATGATGGGGGCAGGGGTTAAAATTTAATGGGAAAAACTTGAAACTACCTATTTTCACTGATTATTCAGCAGTGCCTAAAATGAGCTTTCGAAGTAATATGAATGCACTTTCAATTCATGTGTACAGTGCCATTTGCTATCTTGGGTAAGTCTTGCTCTTTCTTTTCTTTTTCCTCCCCTTTTCTCTTTTACTTAAATGTCACAGAGATGTTTCTTAACATCCATGTAAGTCTCCACAGTCCAGGAAACACATACTTTGCTCCAGATGGGCAATGTGGACAATTTTAAGGATGTTTCTTTTGTTGAAATTTATTTTAGGTTTTGTGATTACACTTGGAAATACGTGTTTAAGATTGGGTTTTTTCATTGTAACCCAAAGGTGCATTAAGCAAATGTAACTTTTTTTATATAAAATTTTGAAAACATTAGTTACCTGAAAAACACAGATTTCTCACTAAATATTCTTGATTTGACCTCTGTGGTCACATTTCTAAGTATAAAGGAAAGCACTAGAAACTTGCATTATTGTTGCACTTGAAAAAAAAATCAGTCCATATATCATTACAATAGTAGCATCAAGTGTTTTGCCATCAATCAAGTATTAAAAAAATTTTTTTTACAAATAGCAGGAGGTGACTTATATTACACCCCTCCCCCCCAAAAAAAAGGGCTTTAGGGTACTGTTTGCCTAGCAGCCAGGTGGTTACAAAATTTTCACATGCTTTGGTACACTGATAAATGTTAGCCATTGTTCCTAAAAGCTTCTTAAATTGCATAAGTTGTTTTAAACTTTTTCAAGAATAATCTAGTTGAAAAGCTTTGTATTAAAGATACACATAGATTTTTTTGTGAACATTTCCAGTGTGTAGTGTCATTTACTTTCTATTCTTGACCTCAAAAGTGCCTCACTTGTATATGATTTCCATTAAGAGCTTAACTGCATTCTTTCTAATAAGCAATGAAAAATTGTTTAACTCATGTCATAATGTATTGCCTCAGATGAGTTGACTCGCTTGATCGTTTTGAGTATATAATGTAAATATGCATATATAAGTTTGTAACCGTTTTTGTTACATCATACCCATGTAATTGGACATATCAGATACCATAAGAATTTGTTTTAATGTCCCCCCCAACTCCTGGAATTATCTGATTAAACCTATCATGAAATATAAAAGGACTTCTTCTTACTCTTCTAGAGCATATCACCTTAGTTACGAAAGATAATAATTACTAGAGAAGAAAGTACTAGTAATTTGGAAGCATTTGATCTTTCGTTAGTTCCATTCTTGACTTCTTTTTTTTTTTAACTGAAAATTCACATGTAGTGTTTTTTGGTGACTTATTCATACTTGTTTTTCATCCAGTCTCCCCCCCCCCTCGG